CGGACAAGATCTTCGAATCGACGGACGCGAAGCGCTAACGCGGAATGACGAAGCCCGAATGACGAACCTGTCGGAGGCAGATAGACCCCTCCGACAGGTTCGTCATTCGGGCTTCGTCATTCGTCATTTAATCCACAAGAGTCCGAACGCCTAAGAGGCTTTCCCTTGAGCAAGTATCCCGTCACCATTCTCGGCGCCGGCAAGATTGGTCGTGGCATCGCGCGGATGTTGCACCTATCGGGCGAGTACGACGTGCTCGTCGGCGACATCTCGCAAGAGGCGTGCGACGCGCTGGTGAAAGAGACCCCGGGCGTCACCGCCAAGGTGGTCAACGTCACCAACCACGACGATGTCGTGAAGGCGTGTCAGGGCCGCAAGGCGGTGATCTCGGCCTGTTCGTTCGATCAGAACGAGGGGATCGCCGTCGCGGCGCTAACGGCGGGCGTCAGCTACTTCGACCTCACCGAAGACGTCGCCACGACGCACGCCGTGCGGACCATCGCCAAGCGCGCCGACGAGGGGCAGATCTTCATGCCCCAGTGCGGCCTGGCGCCGGGCTACATCGGCATCCTCGCCCACAGCCTCTGCCAAGGCTTCGACAAGCTCGACCGCGTCAAGATGCGTGTCGGCGCGCTGCCGCTCTACCCGACGAACCATCTCAAGTACAACCTGACTTGGTCGACCGACGGCCTCATCAATGAGTACTGCAACCCGTGCGAGGCGATCTCGGACGGTAAGCGGATGGACCTCCAGCCGATGGAAGGTCTCGAGCACTTCGCGCTCGACGGCGTTGACTACGAGGCGTTCAACACGTCCGGCGGTCTCGGCACGCTCTGCGAAACGCTCGAAGGCCGCGTCAACGAACTCGACTACAAGACGGTCCGCTACGTCGGCCACCGCGAGCTGATGATGTTCCTCTTGCACGGCCTGCGCTTCTACGATCACCGCGATCTCTTGAAGAAGCTGATGGAAGACGCGATCCCCTGCACCAACCAGGACGTCGTGCTGATCTTCAGCACCGTTACCGGCTGGCGAGGCGGCCGCTTCGAGCAAGTCGCCGACGCCCGCAAGGTGTACCACGGCAACGTCCACGGCCTGGAAGCCAGTTCGATCCAGATCACGACCGCAACGAGCATGTGCTGCGTGGTCGACCTGCACCGTCTCGGCATGCTCCCGTCGAAGGGCTTCGTGCGGCAAGAAGACGTGTCGCTCAAGGACTTCGAAGCAAACCCCTTCGGCGAGCCCTACGCGAAGGCGACGAGTGTCCGCGCGCCGATCGCTTCGACTTGATTCATTGAAGATGAGCCAAGAAGACACGAAGGGCACATAGAAGAAGCTGGAAGAGGTAAAGAGAGCGAAGCGACCCTTGTTCCCCTCCCTTTTAGGGAGGCCCTTTGTCAGGGAAGTGGAGGGAGGGTGAAATGCATCCAGCGCCTTGCCGCCTCGAGTACCGCATCCTAACGCCGCTCGAAACGTCAGACCCTCACCTAACCTCTCCCTAAAAGGGAGAGGGACCAACCCACTTGCGACCAAACCGTAACGGTTGGCGACAACTACCCTATCGGCGACGATAGATAGCACGTCCTTCGTGCCTTTGTGGTTCCCTTAAATAAACACAAGAACAGCATGGAACTCCCCACCAACCTGCTCCCCGCCCAGATCGATGGCGTCCGGCCCGGCGTGGCGATTGGCGCTGACTATCAGCTCGGCAGCGGCGCGGCGTTCGAGCCCCTCTCACCGATCGACGGCGAGCTGACCAGCAAGTGCGGCGCGGCGTCGCCCGCCGACGTGGGCGCCGCGGTGGCGGCGGCGCACGAGGCGTTCCTCCAGTGGCGCACCGTCCCCGCGCCGGTGCGTGGTCAGCTCGTGCTGCGGATCGGCGAGATGGCCCGCCAGCACAAGGCGGAGCTTGCCAAGCTGATCACGCTCGAGGCGGGCAAGATCCCGTCCGAAGCCGAGGGCGAGGTTCAGGAGTGGATCGACGTTTGTGACTTTGCGGTCGGCCTCAGCCGCCAGCTTTATGGTCTGTCGATCGCCAGCGAACGGCCCGAGCACCAACTCATCGAGCAGTGGCACCCGCTCGGCGTCGTGGGCGTGATCTCGGCGTTCAACTTCCCGAACGCGGTCTGGGCGTGGAACGCGATGATCGCCCTGGTTTGTGGCGACTCGATCGTCTGGAAGCCGTCAGAGCAGACGCCGCTGATCTCACTGGCCTGTCACGAGATGGTCGTCCGCGCTGCCGCGACCATGCCCGAGGCGCCCGCCGCTCTGTCGTGCGTCGTCAACGGCGGCGCCGACGTTGGCGCGGCGCTTGCCACTGACAAACGCGTGCCGCTGGTGTCGGCGACGGGCTCGACGGCGATGGGGCGCAAGGTCGCTGTCGCCGTCGGTCAGCGGCTCGGGCGTTCACTGCTCGAACTCGGCGGCAACAACGCGATGATCGTCACGCCGACAGCCGACCTCGACCTCGCGGTGCGTGCGATCGTCTTCGCCGCGGTGGGCACCGCCGGCCAGCGCTGCACGAGCCTGCGGCGTTTAATCGTTCACTCCTCGATCGTCGACGAGCTAACAACGCGGCTCGAAAAGGCGTACAAGTCGCTGCCGATCGGCGACCCCACGAAGGAAGGCGTCCTCGTCGGCCCGCTGGTCAGCGAAGCGTCGTTCAACAACATGCAGACCAGCCTCGCCGCCGCCAAGCTCCAAGGGGGCGAGGTCCTCTGTGGGGGTGACCGCGTCACCGACGCGGTTCCGGCTGGCGGATTCTACGTCACGCCAGCGCTGGTGCGGATGCCGAAGCAGACCGAGGTGATGCTCGACGAGACCTTCGCGCCGCTCACCTACATCGTCACCTACGACACGCTCGATGAAGCGATGGCGATTCACAACGGCGTGCCGCAAGGCCTGTCGTCGGCGATCTTCACCGGCGACATCCGCGAAGCGGGCCGCTTTACCGGCCCCGCCGGCAGCGATTGCGGCATCGCCAACGTCAACATCGGCACCAGCGGCGCCGAGATCGGCGGCGCCTTCGGCGGCGAGAAGGACACCGGCGGCGGCCGTGAGAGTGGCTCCGACAGCTGGAAGCAGTACATGCGCCGCACGACCACAACGGTCAACTACGGCGCCGCCCTGCCACTCGCGCAGGGAGTGAAGTTTGACGTTTGAGAGCGACCAGCTGTCAGCGATCAGCTTTCAGCTATCTTGGTGCAGCTGACCGCTGAAAGCTGACCGCTATGCCAACCACCCGACTCGCCCCGTCGCCGACCGGCGCCCTCCACTTGGGGAACGCGCGGACGTTCTTGGTGAACTGGGCCATCGCGCGGCAGCGTGGTTGGCGTGTGCTGCTGCGGATTGAGGACCTCGACGGGCCGCGCATCAAAGCGGGCGCCACCGAAGCGGCGATCGATATCTTGCAGTGGCTCGGCATGGATTGGGACGAGGGCCCGATCTACCAATCATCCGACCTCACGCCGTACGGGACCGCGCTCACCAAGCTCATTGAAGCGGGCGAGGCGTATCCGTGCCGTTGCACACGCACCCAGATACTGGCGGCCAGCCTCAGCGCCCCCAACGCGGGCGACCACGAGCTGCGTTATCCGGGAACATGCCGGCCCACAAAATCAGACGCCAAAGGCGCTCTGTGGGAGGGGTCTCCCGACCCCGATGACGCGGCCCATCCCGCAACGGCCCGCAGCGCGAAACCGGGGTCGAGAGACCCCTCCCAAAAAAGTCTCCACGACCCCAGCGTCGCCTGGCGCCTCATCGCACCTGACGAAGAGAGAGCGTTCAACGACGCCTTCCTCGGCCCGCAGCGGTTCAACCCGCAACTTGAGGTCGGTGATTACCTGGTCGCCACCAAAGGGGGCCAGCCCAGCTACCAGCTCGCCGTCGTCGTCGATGACGCGCGGCAAGGCGTCACGCACGTCGTCCGCGGCGCCGACCTGGCGCCAAGCACCGCGCGACAGCTTTTGCTCTACGAACGTCTCAAGCTCGGCGCGCCACCTCAGTACCTGCACCTCCCAATCGTCATCGGCGAAGACGGCCGCCGCCTCGCCAAACGCCACGGCGACACGCGACTGTCACACTACCGCGACCTCGGAACCACGCCCGAACGCGTCGTCGGTTTGCTTGCCGAATGGAGCGGCCTCGGTCCACGTAGCGAGATGACCGCCCAAGAATTCGCGCAGCGCTTCGACCTTTCACGCCTGTCGCACGAGCAAGTCGTCTTCACAACCGCCGACGATGCTTGGCTGACGGAAAAGAGTTAACTACGACGGACACAAAGAACACGACGGCTCGTCACTGGGACTAGCGTTGTCCCGCTAGTACGGCCGTCGTGTCCTTCGTGCCCGTTGTGGTGCATTTTTTTAACCGGACGCTAAGGCGTGCCGGCTGATGAGCAGCCGCATCGCTATCAGCCGCGGGGCCTTAGCCCCCGGTTCATTACACACGTAGATAAACCTTACTGCGATCCATCCACCAACAAATCAGCCACAACACGAGGCCCACCGCAAGGTTGCCCACGAGTAGCGTGAACGTCTCGCCGAAGACCGCGAAGGCATCGGCTCCGAGGTGCGTCGTCAGATTCATCAGCACCCACGACGCCAGCGTCCAGGTCATCACGTACATCGCCAGCGGGTTGCGGCCGACCACGCCCGCGGGCCAGGCCCAGCGCCGCACGCCCGCCACGTCGATCAGGCCGTAGAGGGCGCCGAGAATCCACAAGCAAAGCCCGCCTGATGCGAGGGCGAAGCTCGGCGTCCAGTTCTTTTTCACCAGCGGGCACACGCCGCTGAGATCGAGCGCAACGCCTATCCCGATGAGCACGGTTCCCCAGCCGAAGTGCCACAGCAGCTTGGCTTGCGCTGTCCGGTCTCTCTTAAGGGTTTGTCCAGCCAATAAGCCCAGCGCCATTGTCGCTAGCGATGGTAGGAAGTTCAGCGTGTAGTAACCGCCGTTGTTAATGACGAAGGGCGCACTGCGCGGCGGCAGGTTGAGGAGCCAGCGGTCGATCGCCACCCCGGGGCCGACGTTCTCGTTCCAGTGCGACCAGAAGCCGGTGAAGTGCGCGACGACGTTGGGGGCATTCGTCGGCACGGGCCAAAGCGCGAACAGCAACCATGACACGACGAGGATCGCGACGATGGCGATCACCTGAACGCGCGGCGTACGAGTCGCCAACCAGAACAGCGGCAGGTATGCCAAGCCGATCTGCGACACCACGTCTTCCAGCGTCCAGTGCGTCTCGTCGCGGCCGACCGATCGCAGGAAGATTCCCAGCAGCACCAGTAGCAGCGCTCGGACTGCCGCGTGGCGCCAGAGTTCGGCGTCGCTCGCGCCGCGGCGTTTGCGGGACGCGTACGAATAGGGCAGCGACACGCCGACCATAAACATGAACGACGGCTGGATCATGTCCCACAGCGTCAGCCCCCGCCACGCCACGTGCTCGAACTGATCCATCACCGGTCGCAACCAAGGATGAGCGTGAGCAATCGGTTCTTGCCATCCCCAGTTGGGTACGGTGAAGGCGAGCAGCAGCATCGTCAGCCCGCGATAAACGTCGAGCGACTCCAGCCGCTGCGGCGTCGAGGTGGGGACACTAACGGCGGGCGATACGTTCTCCATGCGGAGCAGCGTAACCGATAGGTTCCACCTTTTGTGGGAGGGGTCTCCAGACCCCGATGGCGCGCACCATCACGCAACGGCATGGACACCGTAATCGGGGTCTGGAGACCCCTCCCACAGAGAGCAAAAGCTCTCCGTTAGCCATGCAATTCCGCCAACGCCTCCGCTAACGCCCGCACTGTCCCCGGCTGCCCCTCCAAAAACAATTGCGGCTCGATGTACTCCGCCTCCATCAGCAGCGCCGTCCCGCCGTTGTCCACCAGATCGATGCGCGCGAATGTCGTCACCGGTCCCGCCTTGACCGTTTGCTCGGCGGCGTCCAAAACCTGCCGCGGCGGCGTTTCGGCGGTGACGTTCGCGCCGAACTCGGGCTGCGAACGGATATCGCCCCGCGCCGGCCGTTTCCGCACCGCGTGCTGGAATACGCCCGCGACAAAAACCAACGACCACTCCCCCTCGGTCCGAATCGCCGGCACAAGCGGTTGGAGTAGCACGTCGTACGTCCACGACCGCACGCCGTCTGCGTTGGGCTCCAGGTCATTCAGCGAATGGATCTCTAAGCCCGACGACCCGGCGCCTACCGTCGGCTTGACGACCAGTTCCTCACAACCGAAGGCAGCGAAGTGCTCCTCAAGCCGGCACGCCACGCCCTCCGCAACGAGTGCGGTCGGCACCGTTGGCG